AATGTTTCCAGGGATGGGGCATCCACCACCTCTCTGGGCAACCTGTCCCAGTGCTTCACCACCCTCAGCGTAAAAAATCTCTTCCTTATATCTAGTCTAAATCTACCCTCTTTTAGTTTAAAGCCATTCCCCCTTGTCCTGTCACAACAGGCCCTGCTAAAAAGTTTGCCCCCATCTTTTTTATAAGCATCCCTTTTTTTTTCTCTCTCTTTCTGTACACACTGGAATTTAAGTATTTATTTAGAAAATAAACTTTTGGGCACACTGCAATTTAAAAAAAAGGAAAAAATATAAAGAAGAATCTATTAGATTAAGCAGTCAAAAGCCAGCAATATTACAAGCTGTTTACATACCAACATTTACATTAATTTAAAACAAGTGGCATGTCACCAACATGTAAAACATACTTCAAAAGTTTAAAAAAAATCAAGTTGACTTTTGAAAGATACAAGTCTACCACATGTGTGAACATGGGTTTGGTCATTCAGTTTAAATCCCCTCTTGCACTGAAATGTTCAGTCTTCAAATTATACAAGTGGATAGCTAGCAGCTGTTGCTATTCCACAGTGGTTCTTCCTGTCCTTGGCCATGTAGATATATCCTTTGTCACCCCAATTCTCACCCCAGCTGTTCTTAACAATCCAGTATTTCTTCCCATCTACATCTTCCCCCTCAAAGCCATAACCTACAAGCAGAACACCATGGTCCAGGTCTTCACTGCTGCAGTCTGGTTCATAGTAGATACCTGACTGATAGAACTGGAATGAAGAGTGGCCTGCATCAATAGCAACAGACACTGGACCCACAGCTGCTACTGCTTTCATGAGAGTTCTTTCATGTCCTTGAGGGATGTCAACAAAGCCAGTGTCATTAGCAGCATTGTACTCTGCCTTGTAGTGACAGTCTTCATCTATTCCCCCATTACCCTGCACATACTGGAAAGCCTGGTCCATGAGACCACCGTTGCAGCTTTGATTCCCTTCAGGGTGAGAGCAGTCCACCAGATTCTGTTCACTCAGCGACACAAGTTTGCCAGTTTTGCTGAAGTGCTGCCCTTCAAGAGCTCCTGTTGTGCTGAAAGCCCAGCAAGAGCCACGCTGACCCTGGTCTTTAACTAGAGTTACATATCCCTTCTGTCTCCAGTCTGCTGATCGTGGCGCTTCCAGGAAGCTGGGCTCAAGAAACTGGGATCCTCTGTACTTCCTTTCTGACTTCTTGTGTATATAGCCATTCATCAGCTGTCTGAACTCCTCAGTTGTCATGTCACCAAACTGATTCATTCCCAACTTGTAGCTGTTGAGAAAGACGTTTGTGCCAACTTTCAAGTATTCATATGCATCAGTCATTCCTCTTGAGATAGGAGAGGGCTTTTGTTACTGATTTAGGGCTTTGTACTTAAAAGTTTTTATAAGCCAGCGCTAGGGATATTAAAAACAGGTGTATTTTTTAGCACATGGGACCGAAAAGTTGAGGTATATGGCTGAAAGCAAAAAATAAAAGAAACCGTAGAATGTAAATAAATACTTGTTGAGAAAAAAAAGAAAAAGAAAAAAAAGAAAAAAAAAAAACCCACACACTACTGCCTGTACTTTCTTACCTCCCCAAGGAAATCCACAAATCCACTTAGTGGCCTCTCTTTCTTTCTCTCTGGAGTCTGATTCTCCTCTCATTTACATAGCTGTAAATCCAGACTAGTTCCTTTGAAGTCAGAGGAGTTTGAGGAGTTCAAAACACATGAAGTAGGAGAATAACTTGTCTCTCTATAAACAGAGACTCCCCAGATGGCCAGATCCTGATCCTGTTGATTTAGTAGGTGTTTCCCATTGAGTTTAACAAGAGCAGGAGGAGCCATTTCATTCAGTTAAGTTACACTTGCAGCCAGATCTTCTACTGACTCCGTAGGGTCAGCTCCATGAAAGTTACACTGGTCTTCAGTGCCAGAAGACTGGGGATTTGATTTTGTGCATGCTGGTGTAAGTCAGCAATAATCTGAATAAGTAGGTGAAGTCCAAGTTAGGTCCATTATTTGCAATGATAAATATCTGCGTTATTTGTCATCAAAACACTAGCAATAAAATATCGTTAGGCCTCCAGCTGAAAGTTTGATAGCTGATAGGCAGTTTTGAATATTAATTGGCACAATTAAAAGGTAAAGAATACTTTGAGGAGATATCCTAGGGACAACTCTGGCGAGGCACCAGAATGAAGTTAATAAATAGGTGTCAAATGGGTACTAAGCAGAAAAGGCAATGGGCTTTGCTATTAACAGAGTATGTTGATTCAGATGCAGTAATAAAATGACACTGTCAAGAGGCTGGATAAAAATCTGGAGTTCTGGAAAAGAGTATCTTAGGTATCAGAAGGGCTTATAAGTATCATATTCATCCGTAAAATCTACCATCTTTACATTGCTATTTTTTTAAGAAACACAAATGCTTTTTTACTTTTTTAAACAGAATTAATCTTTTGTCTTTCAAGACTAATAGATGGTGGAAACCTCAGTGACCTCTTGGAATATGAGCTGTAGAGAAGGTGCAGAAGTTGAAACCAAAAACATGATTTATAGAGCTGAAAGTGCTAAGTGTTTTTCTTCTGTTTGCACGCATGGCAGTAACTGACTTTATCTTCCTTTAACACACCACAACCTACAAGATGCAGCACTTTCCTCTCACCATGCTATCTCCTGAGCATAGATAATACTGGAAATGATGGCTCTTAAAAACTATTGACATGGCCTAAATGCTGAGGCATATTGTGTTTGCTTTGACCAAACCAGGCAGAAAGTCAGGAATGAAGCCAGCCAGTGTGTCCAGCTGAGATGGGGTGTTCCTGCTGGTGGAGTCTGGACTGACACGACCACTGAAGGGAGGTGCAACTAGGAGGCATTTAGTAAATTCATACCCCAAAAACATTATAAAATAACACCAGCACTGCCATATTGTCCAGTCTGGAAGGAAACCATATAACCACAGATTTGACTGAGCTTCTGCTGAGAAGTCAATGTAATCATCACCTTCAAAAACAGGTCTGTTGTCTGTAACATAGAGACAAATTGCTTATGATAGCTTTGAGCAGTTCAATTATTCTTACCTATAACAAGATTGGAAAGAAATTTCTCTGTGTGCTTTTTATCACTTTCCTTCCCTTTGTAGCACTAGATAGGGTGCTTGGCTTTAGCAGGTCTTTTGACTCCCTGAGTTGAGGGAGTTACCCTTTCCAAACAACTGGGTCCAGGGCTTATTGTGTCCCATGTTGCTCTACAGAGACCTTTGGGAGCTGGCCACAGGCAGACCAACATGAAAAAAGGTGGCAGAGATCTGTGAGATGTCATTGGCTTCAGCTATTTTATCAGCACATATTACAAAAAGCAGAACTTGCCCTTAATATTCCTTTGTTGCTCTCACATCAAAGGGCTAAATTATGCCCCCTAATATGTGTAAGAGGCTTTTCAGTTATCTTTCTGATGCAAATTATATAATTTTGCATTATCCACTGATTATCTGCAGTTTTAAAACTACAGCAGATGTTGTGCAAAGCCTATATGTCAGTTCTCTCCTCCTCTGAGAAGAGCATCCAAGTAAGCAAAATTGAAACAGCCCTGTGGTGAATTTAAGTTTAGCTGTAGCTCAAGGGCGGAATCAGTCTGGGCTTTAGAAAATTTGTCAGGTGTTTGGTGAAACTGGGATTAAAGGTCTGGGTGTGCCCAGCTCAGCACCTGGACGTATACCCAGTCATCTCCAGCACATACATCCTCTCCCCTTGCTAGATGCCTATATTTAGGACAGTGCGTCATTACATTTAACAGCCGCTTCAGGTCCATTAGACGACAGCCCAGTGTGAGATCTGCCCTCAGCTCTCAATGCACGACACGGAATGAGCTGCATTTGATTGTGGCAACATGCCGACAATGCCAAGGTTAATGAATTAAAGATGTATAACAAAGAATGCTTAATGAAGTCAAATTATGCGTGATTGTTTTATGAGGTGGCATTTAGTATTAAGATTAATCATTACAAAGTAAATCCTCTACCCACCTCTGACTGGGCTCTTTCAGAGGTGCATAGCATTTCAAAACACAGTTGAGCTGAGAAAAAGCAAATACTCAAAAGGTCTACAAAGCAACATCAGTCAAATGTGGTATTATTTACTGTTTTTAAGGAGCAGTGATAGGAACATATGGGGGGGGGGGGGAAGAAGGAACAATATCATGACTCCTTGCCTTGTAAATTTTATTATCATAATGTGGATAGACCATCTTTCTGGTTTTGCCTGTGTTAAATCTCAGCAAACTGGCTCCTTTGCAAGTTCAAGCTTTTGCATGTCTATACCCTAGCCTGGGACTGTAGTCTACAATTATTAATTTAATGATGATTCTGGACCGTATCTTGTTATCTAGTCAGATATATTAAATTATGACAGAAGACCTCTCCAGAAGTCCACTGAGGGCACTTCCTCAAAATAAGAACACTGACAGATGGTCGAACATCCGAGGCAGAGCTGTTTCCCCAGGAAGGAGTGAGAGGAGCCTTTTCACCCAGTCCCATCTATCCCTCTGAAAGTCTGAAGTTTTGTCAAACTTGCCCAGTCCTTAACTCATGGAAGTTAGGGAAGATGTGGCTCTGTAGGGCTCTCGTTCTTCCTCCTATGCTGAACAACCTGCAAGATTATAACGGGACCACAACATGCCTAAGGCAGGCCTTGAGCACACATCAAAGGGCAGAGTATGAGAGGCAGCTGCCAGAGCTGGAAGAATCAGCATCAGCTCCTTCTCTTTGCCAAAAAGAGTATTGATTCTCTACACTTGCTCCTGTAACTTGGCTGACAGGTTCGTAGGACAGCAAGAATCTCAGCTAACAACAGTGCTGTTTCAGCCAGTTTTTCTTAATAAACCTGTCAAGGAAAGAAGATTTATAGACAGGAGCTGAACAAGGCAAGAGGATATATTTTTTTTTAATGTAAGCACATATCTCAGGGCAGTTTGCCTGCGTACCAGTTGTCTCATTCTTTTCCACAAAGCTGCAAGATTGCAGTCTCTCTTGGAGTGCTTAATGGGTAAGAGGTAATATATGAAGCTGGGGTAAGAAGATATACATAAAGCTGGTTGCTCTATGTGTTCCCTCACATAGGAGCAGCTGTACAATAGCACGGGTTCTTAAATCATGACCTTCTAGACTGAGGACTAACCCATTCCCCCTTGAAGTTAATTAGAAAACTCTTGTCGATCTATATGGAGATTATGTGCTTACCACAGTCAAGGTCTGGCCCTCAGTATGTCCTCTTTCCCTAAGGCCATCAGCTTGTTTGGCTGGTATTGCTGTATGCACACATTCTTCTTCCAAATTAATAACCAGGTCCTTCCACATGACCTTTCTGCTTTGTCAGACATCTATACCATGACCTTCTGTTTCAGATACACTACAAAATCTGGCACAATGCACTGGCAAAAAAAGGCAATACAATAAAAACGGGAACGAAGGTGATTGGTTGGATGCTTACTGCTGTGGTAGAATATACATCAAAAGAAGGAATAAGCCATGCTGAATATATGATAGCTCTGATTTACTATACTTTCAAACCATACCTTAAATACCCTGTGTTTTTGAGCAAGGTCTGTAATTTTTTTCCTCTTGCCTCAATGCAGTCCCTTCTATCCCTTATCTTTACATACCCTCTGTCCTCCAAAAGAATATCTGGGTGGAAATACCAACCAGCACAAAGCATCTTGCCGGCTGGCAATTTGGGCTTTACAGAGCTTTTATGGGAGCTATAAAGAAGACACCTAGCAAAAAAAGGTTAATATCTGAGATGATAGTGTCTGCACATGCTTGATATGAGACTTCGACTGTGACGACGCCACAAGACGGAAATAGATGTTTGTCAAGATTTGCCCATCAAAAAGAAGCAAAAAGAAGCACAAGCTTCTTTTATTGTTTTCTTTCTTTTTGAAAATCGCCTTTCAGTAAAACACATGGGTGAAAGTCATGTTTATTTTGAACTTTGTCTTATCTATTTGTTGGGCAACATCAGCAGGTAATGTTTGGAGAACTTTTGAGGACTTACTTAAAACCTCTCGCTTTGGTCTTCTACAGCATATATTCAATACTGGAACAAGCCAGCATCCTTGACAGCAAAACACTACAATCTTGTAAAAAACTTTACCTCTCTTGGATTCTGGCAATGCACTGAATGGGGAGTGAACTTTGAACTCTGAGACTACAAGGCGTGCCTGGTTAGTTTTAGTGCCAGGGTGAGGAAGTCCCCTGGAGACCAAGTATTGCAGGAGGAGAATTCAATCACTAAGGTGTTTCCAGCCTGGATTATACTGAAATACATTCACAGAATGTGC